TGCCTCATTCAGTAACAGCCTCGCTATTGCACCTGTTTTGCTATTGACAGTTTTAAAGTTGGTCTGGAGCAGATTGGAAAGAACGAAGAGGTTTCTGAAGAACACCTATTGCTTTTTGTTTCCCTTTGAATTTATAACTGACATTTTTAGAAATCGTAGATTGGGTCACTTGCAATTAAATAACAAACAAAGGAATATTTTATAGGCGTTCTGGAAGAATACCCCCTTCCTTGATGAAGAGCAGGACACAGCCTCCGAGCACCTTTTCCTTTATTGCCTCATCTCCCACTTTCCTCTTTATAAAGCTGTAATCTTTATTAATTACCCTTTTTCTGAGTGACTGCCACATTATACTTTTACAACATAATCAGGCTTTGGTCCTGTGAGTGATAAGGGAACTCCAGATTTGGGAAGTCACATTTTGAATCTCAAATTTCAAGATAAATATATCTCTGTATTTATTTCTTCATCCTTATTTGGGATAAGGGTACAAAAAGGGCATGTTACTCAGAGCCTAAGGGATCTGTCAGAGCATTGATGACCTTTGGTGGCTTGCATTTCACCCAAGCATTTGAAAGCATCCCAGTGTGGCATCCAGGGACTCAACTTGGACCGGGACCTCAACCTGTGACCTCCACCCATCAGTACCGAGTGATGCTTGTCAGATAACAGCTAATCACGGTGCTTGGGGTGAAGTGGCATCCACAGGTGTCTCTGGAGCCCAGAGATCCAGGTGCTATAATGCTACTGCAATAACTTCAGAGAAACATCTTGAAGAATGAAAGGAAAGTGAAGGCATCGTTGCTTATGAACTTGAAGAGAAGCAATGATTCCTTATAGACTCTTCCTTTTTGTACTTATTTGGAAATTGGACTAGTGAATGAGACTTTCCATCCTTTTTCTCACACATGGTTTTACTGTAGAGTATTTTAAAAGTTTCTAAGGTAGACAGTGCTGACCAGATAGGCCTTGTTTGGGGGATTCATAATAAAGTCTAATAGAAAAGCTTTACAATCCAATCCACAGAAAGGTTCACAAATGAGTTTATATAGCTATTAAAAAGGCATCTCAGCAGGTTTTTACTTTCCACCACAAGCTCTTCCTACAGGTTCATAGAAGGAAGTCTCTGAAAATCAACTGTAGCACTGTCCAACTCAGAGTAACTAGTACAAAACAGAGACAATCAAATATAGTCTCCGACTTGTTCAGAAAGGACAGCAGAAAGAGGCAGCGGATATTTATTT